AAGATTATCGACACTCACCGCTTGCAACTCATATGTACATGCAGTCAAGTAAACAAAAAGAAATGAAAAATAAATATATAAACATGCTAACATGACTTGGTAATTGAAACTTCGGATTTCAATTGCTTATAATTATTTTAAGCAGTAAGGATAGTGTGGCAAACTTCACATTTAAACCAATATAACTCAATAGATAGCATTAATGAGTTTTGAATCTTGTCTCATATTGTACAACTTTGTGCTGCATATGGCAATATTATGTATTTGAAAACTTTTCTCAAGATACTTTAATGTTTTCCTGTGCTTGCCTTGCAGAATATATAATTATGAAAATAAGCACAGAATTTATACTTGCAAGCTAAACTGAACTCAATCTTATTGTGGGAAAGGGAAAAAATAAACATAAAAAATTTATAGTGTGTATGGGCAATCCAAAGGGCCTTGCCTAGGATCGGTTATTGGCTATAAAAAATAAAAAAAATAAAAAAAATGAAATGCACTACTATGTGCATAAGAATCTTGTAATTGTTGTTTGTCAATTTTGTTAGGTCTCCTAGTCCTACTGGAGGCACTTGTGATATGGCCTTTACTTTATAAGATTCAATAATGCTGAAAAAAGTATTTTTAATTCTGGATTTCCCCTGCTTTACAGCAATTGAGAGGTTTGTCTCTTAAAAATCATCTTTAATCATGAATTATTCACCTGAGTTCTTTTTCCAAATTTTCTAAAAAAAAATTTATTTATTATTATTTTTGTGTTAAGACTTGTTGCACGTGATATTCTTTTTCGATGAGTTAATTACCTTTTGTTTTCAGACCCTTCTTAAATTGTAAGAGTAATTTGAGGATGTCACCATGTTTCAGGCATTCAACATCCTGCGCTATGAGATTGGGCAGAGGTATAATTCTCATTATGATGCATTCAACTCATCCAAATGGGCCGCAGAAAAGTCAAAGGGTACATACTAAGCAAAGATATAAATATTAATTCAATCATCTTTAATTTTCTTTCCCCCGAAATGTTTGATCTCATTGATGCAGATATTGACTATTTGCGCTATGTATATATAAACTCAGAAATAGTCACTAGAAGTCTCTAGATCAATTATGGTAGTTGGACCCAATGATCATATGCCCCCAGTGACAATAGGATGTGAAATGAAATAATTAATAAATGGTGTTCATTCTAAATTAATGATTGTTAAAATTTATCACCTACTTCACCCACTTAAACCTACTCCACTAAACCTAACCCACTACACCACTACCACCTCACCTACTCCACTAAACCTAACCCACTACACCACTACCACCTCCACTTCACCTACTCCTTACCTACTACACACTCACCCTCTTCTATATATAGGAATCATGAATCATTGTAATATATACAACAAACATTCATCAATCAATAATACAATTCTCTTTATACATTAAATTTCTACAATGATATTAATCGATTTCTTGGCAAGGATGGATTACATAACATGTACTTGCATATAAGCTAAAATCACATTGTACTTGCTTCCACCTGGAATTGAAATATCTATCATCAGTATTTCTTACTATTTTCCTTTTGTTATTTATCAAATAACAATATCACCGTTTTTCTTTTATTATTATTAATTTTTTCTGTCCTTCGTTGTTTTTCTGGGAACTTGCACATAAGGACAATCCCCAGGCTGATCATGCCAACTAGTGTTTAAAATCAATCATCTTATGTCTATGGTGCACTAAATAGTAGTGCATCAGATAATCAGATCTTAAACTATATATGTGCTTCACCCAGAAGGGTAAACAAAACAATATTTGTGTACACAGTAATACCATATTCCATTTGATGTTTGATAAGTGAAGCTCACAAGCTTTCTGCTTACATAATTGACATGGTGGTCATATGAAGCCTATTTAGCAGTGAGCCATATGATGACACTGGACAATTGAGCATCCATTTTCTGTTTTGTTGTATAGAAATTTAAATGAAAAGAAGTCATTTCATGATAATTATGAAGTTGAGATAATTCTTTTCGATCAATTTAAATTTTTTATATTGGTTGCTAAACATGGAACATATATTTGTTTATTATTTCTTGATACTTTGAGAGATTTTGATTGTTTTTTCTTTGATATGTTTTGTTTCTTTGGGCAAAAGCAAAAAATAAAAGGAGGGTGACTCTGCCCTAGGTTGCAGAAGTGGTGTAAGCAAAATAAAAAGGAAGTTTTTAGAATTGAACCAATTTTACATTGGAATTTTCTTTTGGCCTGAAAATTGAAGTCAATGTAATATGTTTCTCTTTTGATTAAATCAGAAGAAAATTCCATTAAAATTGTCCTAACCTTTGTGAATTTGTTTCTTGTTTACATCTCTCTGTAAGCTACTTCACAAAATAATGAAATATGATTACCAACATTGGCCAGCCTATATTTTGATGAGTCATATCTGAAGCCCCTGTATGCTCTAGTGACAATAGTGGTGGTTCACCAAACTTTCTGGCAATTCAAGAACTTGCTTAAATTTGGTGATCTATGTCAAATGTTCCAATGATTTTGATGAATTTTCCCCCCCTTTTAATTGTCATTTAAAACAAATGGCACCACATAAAAATATTTGATATGTTTCTTGCCTCTGTTTTTCTTGGTAACCTCAGTGATGGCGTAAAATTGTTGCTAGCATTATCGTTTTCAGTTTGTCATGATGGCCAGGCAGAGATTTTCAAGTATTGCCAAGTGCTTAGTTTTACTGTGCTTTTGAATCTTCTTTTTTTTTTTTTTAAATGAGAATATTCCTTTAAAATTACTAATATGAAATTTCAGCAAAATTCAATACCATGAATAGATTATTTTCATTAAGTTTTTGTCGTCCATTTTGCTATTCACAAATATAACTCCAGTACTGGACACCACTAACCATGAATCATTGATTACTTCAAATTTGTAACATCAACCTTGGCAAACTTTAATGCAGATTGCATCTTTCTTGTTGTATTTATCTAGTGTTGAAGAAGGTGGTGAAACGATGTTCCCATTTGAGGTAAGATGAGGAAGCTTTTTTCTATTCTTTAGGTTTCCTTTAAATCAACCGTGTTAATTTAATTGATGTATGAAGATTAGCAGTCACTGTATGCTTTGATCTGCAGAATGGATTGAACCTGGATGCAAACTATGATTACCGCAAGTGTGTTGGCTTGAAAGTAAAGCCACGCAGAGGGGATGGACTTCTATTTTATTCATTGTTCCCAAATGGTACAATTGATTCGGTGCGTGTTTCTTCTGGCTGTCATTCTCATCCAAATTTCACTTTTGAATAAAACAAAGTTGTGTCTTGCTTTATATCAAAATGCTTTATATCTGAATACTTATTCAAGTCGCTATGAAGGGACAGTAGCTAAGTAACTACAACTGCTTTAAGTGGAAGCCTTGTGCACTAGTACAACCTTTTTACAAATTAGAGACGAGGGTATTCATCACTCACCTGTTAAGTAGGTGAACAAATCAAATTCTACCATCGTAGATCAAACTTCAATAAAGTAGGTGATTAGTGAGATTTGCTGTGACCTGTCATGTGGCTTCTGTGTTTTAAATTTGTGTGGAAAAATTGATCGCTCAACATTCATACAAGTATAAACAAGTAAATGACCAGCTTTGTTATGTGGAGGAAAATGCTGAGTTTGAATCTTGGTTTTGTAAAAAGATTTGTGGAGGAAAAGAAAAGAGAAGGAATTTGTGAAAGCAATTTTACTTTTATTTCATTCACTTTTCTCTTCTCTTTTCTTCTCTCTCCAAGAATTCCTTCCACAAATTCAAGATTCAAATAATCTTTGCAACTATTTAGGAGAACCTAGAGTATGTTAGATTCTCTACGCCTGTAACACCACAATATCATCTCTGATGATAATATTTGAAACCTTCACCAACACCATGGCCACTGCCACCGCCAACACCCCACTGCACTACCAACCATTAGTACATTCCATGTGTTGGGTTTCAATTTTATTTTTTTTAAATTGAGTTTTTCGTTTTTTTTATTTTAGTAAATATTTTTAAAATTTTAAATAATTTTTTTACTTTTTAAATGTACTTTATGTAGATGTATTTAAATAGTAAAATATTTGTGAAAAAATATTTTAAAAAATTAATAAATATACAAAAATATGAAAAATATACTGAATTATATATATATATATATATATATATATTTGTATTTTTAGTATTTAATGAATTTTTTAAAGATTTTTTTCACAAATATTATACTTTTTAAGTGTATTTATGTTAAGTATGTCTAAAAATTGAAAAAAAAAATTCTTAAAATATGAAAAAAAAAATACGAAAAATAATGAAGTAGAATTTTTTAAAAAGTGTTTTCTGGAAATCAAAACCAAACAAGCTAATTAGGCCTTGTTTGTCATGTACTAAAAAAATCAAAAAGTTAAAAAGTCACTATCTTGTTTAAGTCACATCATCTTATTTAAGTCACATCACCTCTTTATCACATCAATTCAAACCTAATTCATATTTCATAAAAAGTCAAAAAGTACACTTATTTAGAACATTTCAAATATTTCTACCGAAACAAAAGAACTTTAATTGTTAATTAAAGAATTGAATGAGTTTCAGTTTTTATATCATTGTTTCAAGTTGGCTTCTAATGGTTGCCTTCGGTTGAATGTTACTACTACAGGCATCAATTCATGGGAGCTGCCCGGTAAATTTGGGGGAGAAGTGGGTAGCCACAAAGTGGATCAGGGATGAACAGGATCAGGATGAGTAAATTTTTGTACATGTAACTCCTACATTCTTATTATTAGGAAGTTTTGGTGATTTGGGACTTGGCATCTCTCTTTTTCTTTTCTCTTGTTTGGGATGCATATTTTAAACTAAAAAATAAATGAAATTCCAACCCCTCTACTTTATCCATTTTCACCCACGGAAAAAACAAAACAAAACCAAATAAAAACAATAATCCATTTTCACCCTTGGAAAAAAAAAAAAAATCAAAATCAAATAAAAACAAATAATCCATTCTCATCCTTGGAAAAAACAAAACAACCAAATGAAAACAATAAGCCCTATAAATAAGTGCTCCAAATGTCAGCACTATTCTTAAGTTTTGTGAATGAATGAATGAACTAAAACGTGACTCTTCATCCACAAGGTGACATCCAAGATCTTTGGGCTTTACATCAAAGACTATGGTTTGAGTTCAAGCTTTTTATCGACTTAATGTATATAACTAAATTTTCACTGAATCAAAAACAGAAAAATACCTCCTGGGTTAGACTAGCTCAAATGGTGGATTAGCCGGAACACAATCTCGCGTGCTACTTTTGTTAGCTAAAACATTTACCTGGTGTTACAGAACTTGAACGACAATACGCCATTGTTGCATCAGAATTAAAAGGCTCAATAATCAGGATATAAAAAAACCTTTAACCTTTTTTGGTTTAGTAATCCTGTATCCTTTCAGCTTCCATCTTGAGTTCTGCAGTGTCTGGTGGAGATCTACAACATTAAGTATGTGTCTCTCTGCTCATTGTTCTTCATTTAATTCAACACATATCTTTACATGATTGAATTGATTTTCAAGGGTTGCTGCTACTTCATTTCCATCTTTTTCTCTCCCATCTCTTGAAAACCAGAAAACCAAGATCCCCCACATTGACCATTGATCTTGGAAACACGGGGTATGAAATCACAATTTGTGCCAAGTTTGGTGGGGTTGCTTCCCCAAGCGCTTCAAAAGATGTAGGCAACCTGCGGCAGAGAACAGACCAAGTGCAGCAAATGCCATGATTGTTGAATTCTCAATGCTTTGATAGTAGCCTCTCTGTATCAATTTAGAAATCAATCTCAACATTTGATGGTACACATGGATAAAAAAAATGATCACAAGAATTGAAGAAAATCCCTATATTGCTTTAATCTGAAAATAACAAAAAGTGATACATTTAAAGAGTCAAATCATAAAAACTGAGAAGTATGTTCTATATGCTTCAAACATAGGAATGGCGAGGGCAGAGAAAACAAGTCTGCATAATATATCAATTATTGGAGGAAATTCACAAATCATAAGTTCTTGATGCATTCACCAAAGGATCATTATGAAATAATATACATATAATCTTCATTATGATATATTTCCAAGCTTCCAGTCATCTGGTAGGACTGTGAACCATGTCTATATAAAAGTGTGGTTCCAAAAGAACTAGGATAAAAGGCATGTCAACATATGAGACTGTTAATGTACTGAGGCATTACAACCTAATAAATGAAAAACATAATGGCCCATTAGATCTGAAAATTTAACACTGACTGACCGACTGACAGTTGGGGTGTAAAACCTTAAACCAGTCTTCACCTATTTGAACCCTAACCTCAAAAACTGGGTAGGTTTAACGAAGGGTTGGCAGGTAAGCAAGTTCTGTATCTGTTGTTTATTTTATTTCTTTGAGTCCAATGGGTAGGATGAGTCCCGGATTTATTAAAAGAAAAAATAATAATTTCCTTGAAATTTCTGCTGTGGATTCCTATAATAAACCTAACAATCAAATGTCCTCGACAACCATCATCAAAACATTCTACTGCAACTACACTTGCAGATTGCAACCTTAGTCTTTACAAACTATTTGTTACAAAGTATTCAATGTCCTCCCTCAATCAACATAAAAAGCTAAAATAGTATATTAATATAGTTATCGTTACATCACATTCCACCGAAACACCCCACTGACACTTGTTGACACTCCCAAAGATGTGTCCTATCTTATAATTTTAAATTTTTATTCAAAAGACATGTTTTGGATACTTAGGATACACAAGTGTCAATCACATAGAGATGCATGGAAACATATTGCATGTTTGAAGAAATAACTGGGAATCAAATGATAAAATAAAGTAAAGAAAATTTATGCCTATTAATCCCTCATCCTTAAAACTTTTTAGTTTTAGAAATTCTAAAACCCAAAACTTCAATTTATTTCGTACTTCAGGATAAAGGTACATACTTGCAATAGGACAAACAGAATTGCTGCATTTGCAGGGGCTAGAGAAAGGCTCATCATCCCCCCACGCAACTCATTTGGTATATACCTGTGTATGGAACAAGCAGCAGAGGATATATCAAAAGTTTCTCTCAAATAAACAAATAAATGAATGCAATAACATCCCAACAAGTAAAAGCCACAACCAACTAGTAATTAGAAGCAAAGAAGCACTAGTATAATTTACATAGTCCTCAATCTGGCAAGTGAAGGTAAAAGAAGGCCAACACAAGCATGAAATAAGCAGAATAGTGCTACAAGAACTCCAATTTCCTGCACATACAAGTACAAACTGTAAAAGTTCAAATCCAATTTTCAAAAACAAAATATTAGGTAAAAATAAAAGAAGTGTTCTTCAAACAATCATAATTAGAAGTTTCGGTACCTGATAATCGTAGGCCACTATGGACAAAACAAAACCCATTACTATGAACACATATACCAGGCAATCCTCAGTACGAAGAGATAATGGTCCACTGAAAAACCATGGAAAAACTGTGCTTCCTAGCATTCTGGCACCCAGAAAACAAGGATATATCAACCCTAGACGTACTTCTCGCCCATCAGCCTAAAACCACAAGAATATCATTTAAATCAATTGGTAGTCAATGAAATTGTTGCTACATAGTGCTATTGGGAAAAAAAAAAAATACCAGACGGAGTCTCACTATTATGTAGCACTAGAAGGGAGAATCTTTTTTTATTGTCCAATAAAACATCACAATAGACTGAGGTACCTACCTGCTCTCATTCTCAAAATTGGCATAGATAACAGGTGGCAGAAAAAAAAAAAAAAAAGTATATATAAGATCCATTAATAATAATTTGTCCTTTTGACATTCCAAGAACCAAACTTGCCAACTAATTGGGATGAAATATATCATGCTACAGAACTCGATGTTAATTGCACAAACTTGTGAATTCAAAAAACACACAAGGTAAAACAGACAAATCAAATCTATTAATAACTAACTTTCACCTCCTTTCAACAGAAGTCACTGGGTGGGAGGAGAGAGAGATCCAGGACCATCAGAAGCAACAGAAAACCAGCTTAGGCTACTTTGCTGTAAAGGATCTGGTCTGGATGATAATGGTATCTAAACTAAACATATGGATTTTATTTATATTGCATAACGAAGTACCACATGAGTAGACATATAGGAATCCAAATCTGCCAAATCACTCATGTTATGATCTTTTACATCCTAGATCTTCCCGAACACACAGCCACAGCCACACAATGGGGAAAAAGAGAAAAGACATGACTCTGCTATAAATATAAGATTTTACAAGAAAATAAAATCACACTTCAATACTCAACAAATCATTAGTTTCATTAATTTTCCATCTGATGAGTGACTTTACTAGGAAAAAGATAAGTTTTTTTTTTTTTTTTTCTTCTTTTCTTGTGTGGATATGGCTGTTATGTGGATGCCTTCCAATGCTGAACACGACTGTGGTGCTCATTTTAGCAGGAGTTAAGCACCCATATTAAATAATACAGCAAAACTGGAACTGATGCTTTTAATGATGTACCATAATGATATTGATTATAAGCAGCCAATCATTTCCTACTTCAGAGAGGCAACCTTGGTTCTCTAGCTCTCATATGAGTTTGTCTGGAAAAACTAAATGCCAACCTAAAGGATGAGTGAAGATACCATCTGAATATTGATTAGCCATAGTTCTCAAAAAATACCATCTGGATATTTACCAGCTAAATTCTTTGTAAAGACTGAATAGCTAGGCACATGGATATCACTGCCACCCTTTGGGATTTCTCTCAGCACGTGTTCACCTGCGTGTCTGAGTGGAAATCTACATTATATATCAATATAGGAATTACATATTTATATCAATGCAATCACTCGGATGCCTCAAAAAAATTATATCAAATAGATGTTTCTTTTCAAACCTCACCAAAAATGGACATAAAAATAAAAGTTCGAAAACCTACAAGGCTACAACAAGACATACTTAAGTGAATGACTATAATATCATCCAGATACATGAAGAATCTTGTGAAAACTAGAAACAGATCTTTTTCCTTTTTATAAAAAAAAGACAAGATATGTCAGATATCATTATGGTAATAGGTGAGTAATTTTACAAAATGACCTCACATATTGATAAAATTCATTGTACTAAAATACAAACAATGTAAAATTATGTATCCAATCCTATGAAGCACGGACACGGACACGGACACGTGTCCCCGTGTCCCCGGCGTGTCCCCGTGTCCCCGGCGTGTCCCCGTGTCCCCGGCGTGTCCCCGTGTCCCCGGCGTGTCCCCGTGTCCCCGGCGTGTCCCCGTGTCCCCGGCGTGTCCACGTGTCCCCGGCGTGTCCCCGTGTCCCCGGCGTGTCCCCGTGTCCCCGGCGTGTCCCCGTGTCAGACACTGCCACGGCATGAAAACTGCCGTGTCCATGCTTCATAGATCCAATCTCACGATGTAGCCTCGAGCACTTGGGCACAACAGGTCAAAGTTATGACTTAAAATAAGTTTACCACTGCAGATGTCTTATCAACAGGAGATGCCTCTATTTATTACACTTTTCATAAGAAATAAAAGTTACAAAAATATAATCGAACTCTAAAATTTGTAATCTAAATTTTTTCCCCCAAGTTTGAACCAAAGGTACAATGTCTCAACCCTAATGAAATCATTAATTTTAACAACCAAAAAATAGATTTGCATGACAAAATATATGCAATGCAAACTCAATATGTATTTCGACTCAAAAGTTTAGTTTGACCATATTTTGCAAGTAATACAAAAACTATAAAATAAATAAATAAAGAGAAAACATGGTTAGAATATATATCTAAGACATTCACCAAATTCCAACAGTTGAGATTTTACGTGTCTAACTATAAGTATAATTTAAAGAGGATGCTAAAGGCTTGTATTTCTTTTTATTTTCAGCAAAATATTTATTGAAACAAAGAAACAAAAATAAAAACGAACTTACGAATTTGCTGGTAAATCCATACTGTACACAGTATGAAAACGTTACTCATGACTTTCATACATCATCTAAGGAAAAAAAAAAAAAAATCAATTAATCACTATTTTTGAAGGTTCATTGCCTTTAAATTTGGGTTCCTCCTCCACTATAATTTGGTAATACAAAGCCTTCTACTCTTCTTATCTTAGCAAAAGTGACAGAGCTATAGTATTATGGGTTAAGTCCGAATAAAGAGCTGAAAGTAACTTAAAGAAAAGACCTCAATTCTTGATTACACACCATAACATATAGTTTCATAAGTTTCAAACTCTTTAGACAAATTTGGTCCCTTAAAACATTTCGAAACTTCAACTTTCTAATTAAAATTTTTACGGAACAAATTTGCCACTTATATCTGTCTTAGTTACTGTGATGATCAGTTTTGAACTTCTGAGTTATATATGCATTAATTAAAGCTACAATATCCAGAAATTTCAAGGAATTTTTCAGTGTTGTCTAAAGTCATCGACTCATCATCATAAACACCCACTTTTTCATCATATGAACATTTCCATTAACAGTATTATGTTCCAAAATCAGGACTTAAAGAAAATTGAGTTATGCACTACAGAAAACTAGTTAAAATGCTTGATATGCTTCCACTCAACAGTATCTAGCTAACAAGGAAGAAAATTATCCATCAGAAACCAAACTACGATTAATAGAACTGTACTCAGATTGAGGTCAAGAGTGTACCACTATAGTGGGAGCCCATAGAATCCAGAAGACTGCAATGGAGAATTGAACGCAAGCTTGTGCCCAAGCCAAAAGCCATACCTGTTTATCTAACACAAGGGAAAAAAAAAAAAGTAAAATAAAATGTCATTGATGGGGTATGTTACTTGTCAAATATACATATCATTGATTGGGTCATGCTCTCACATAGTTTCTCAACAAACAACAAGAAACTTATAACCTCTAAATTTTTTTTTCCAAGGAAACTCTCTCTCCCCTAGATGTTGTGCTGTATGTGCCATGATGTGGACTTCCAATATCCATATCACACAAACATCTGCTCATTTGAAAAAAACTTAGGTAATGACAATGGTATAAAAGATAAGAGTTGTTATGAGAAAAAAAGGCAATGGCCACAATGCTCAAACAACCTTTTTCTTTGTTTTGTCGTAATTTTTTACTTCAAAGAATTTGAAGTTCCCTTCTATTGTTTTATACCCTGACTGCTCGAGCTCATCTAAAACTTGATTAATTCTCATAACGTCATTCAAGAAGTTCATCTTATATAAGGAGAAGAGAAAGACTAAAGGAGAACATGTATTTTATACCACCAAAGATGTATGCTTTGAAAGATTTCATATAATCCTTAAAAGATATTGCATAATCCTTGAGCACTGCTGTTTGTGATACTTCCTTCCATCCATGAGTGACAAAAATGATAGAGAGAATTGCCAGCAATACTGCTGCAGTAGAAGGAGAAAGCACACTTGTCTCTACATTACTAGGAATCAGCCAATTTGCTATCACTTGGCTACCCATGAAAGATGCAGACTCAGTGAATGCCATTATCCAGAACATGTCATTCAATGAATCTTGCCTATGCCCTAGCTGCAAAGTAAAACCAAAAAGGGCAATTCATTTGTTAGCTGTCAGTTTCTATTTCAATATGTGCTTATGATATGGAACAGGACCAATGAAGACCTGAATTTTAAAGCACAAAACAAAATCAGCAATTAAACAGAAAGCAACTATGGATTTAGTCATGCACTTCGAACACCAAACATGCTGCCAATGTCTAATGCAAAAGAGAAGAACTGGTTTTTTGAACACAAACCTTCTCATGCTCAACCACCATCCATGTCTCAAAACTGAATGAAAATATAGAACTGGCAAGAGAGAGACAGATACTTGCTAACCAGACACTCAGATGTGGACAAATTCTCTTCCACATGCCAACAAAGAGGTGCAGGATGCAAAATATCAAACAAACGTCCTTTTGACCTCTGCATCAAACAGTAGAATTCACTATAACAGAAAAATAGAACAATGAAATGAAATATAGCTCACTATGCCTTGTAATCCCATTAAACATAAAAATCATTGAAATGTAACAATAGCACTCAACTAAGTGAGCATACTGTAGCCAGTAGAAGAAGCTTAATACATGAAGTGTCAAGGTTTCCATGTTTGAATTAACAGCAGAATAGCAACGTTTGCAATTTTCTCGGCTAGACAGAATTGCGTAAAAACTTACACAATCGAGAAATATTAAATAATTTGTTTCCAACATATTATCATGATTTTTTCAAATCATTGCAATGCCGTTTTCGTACTGTTATCAAATTCCTGATGTATTGCCTTACTTCTTCATGAAGCCAACAAATCTAACCCATAACTCTCATAGTTCGCAAAGTATTCATGGAAAACCCCAAGCATTGTGAATGATCTCCAAATGACGTGAAAATTCCAATAATATCTGAAGTATTAAATACAGCAAATTCTTAAAATTCCTCCAAGATATTCACCATGTCTCATCAGTTCTGAGTTATTTCAATGTGTACGCGTATGCAAGGATGCTCAATATATGTGATAGACTACAATCCTATAAACTTTATTTTTTCAACAAAATACAGACCTATTAAATTGACATCATATTCATACAACAAACTATGTGATACGAATATAAATACATGAAAATAACATAAACAAGATGAAACTAGAGGTAAGAATATGCACTTACATTAGATCAGATAGCATGCCTAAGAAGGTACCAATGAAGAGAGCAGCTGCATAACCAACACAAAGAGACAACACCATCTGCTCCCTATTAACACCATATTGTTCGAACTCATACTCTCCAAACACAGACCACAGCCCTTCCATCACTGTCACAGAGAGAGAGAGAGTGAGAGAGATAATCGGAAATTGATTAACAATTGAAGCATCATCATTTATTACTATCAAAATTTGAGCTCCTTTTGATTACTGAGAATATCAATTAGAGCGAAGAAATCAAAACATCGAACTCAAATTTGTCCACGTAAACCGATGGAAACAGATAATTCTTCTACATCGAATTGAACTTTCAGTTTTTAGAACATCATAATTTCTTTTCTTTTCAGCCATTTTCTCGTCAACCAAACAGAGTTACCTTGAATAGAATCTCATGTAAAAATGAGAATGAGAATGCGAATATGTATGTAGATGTAGAATGCTGACCTGAGCAGAGAGAAAATAGGAGAATAAAACTTCTCTGAAAGCGAAGGAACGAAGCGGGAACAGAGTAATCGAATGGAGTGGGAGCTCTGTTGGAATTGGCCGAAAATTGAGGTAGACAGAAGATTGAGAGGAAGCATGATACCAAAATGAATACATATAGGGACTGATTCGGTTCCCATACATCGCTCTCGATGAGCAATCCCATTGTTTGGGGAGAAAGAAAATGACGGAAAATTCTTCAGATCTCAAAACCCTAGATCGGTAGTTGTCTTAGCGTGAAGCAGAAGCGGGGAGGGAGGGATTGCAAGTGTAAGCAGATCATCGCTGTTGCTAACGTCCGCTGCTGTACACTTTCGTGCACATCTTTTATTTTATTTTTTGGTTTTTGAATCGAAATACAGTTGGGCTCCGGGCCTTTCCCATTATAAATAAAAAATAAAGGAGTATAGCTTCTGTCCAGTCCGGGATCGGACTGGATCATATTGTTGGGTTTGTGGAGGCTTATTATGGGTTTCGTTTTGATAATCTTAATCGTTAATATGTAGAAATTGTCGAGTACTATATGCTTGTAAAAAATTACGTTGATCGGATATCGATAACTATGTGATCAAAACAGTTTTTTTTCAACCGTTAATTTGTTCACCGTCCAATTTTTTTAATACGAAACTGTTTTGATCATATAACTATCGTTATCTGATCAACGTAATTTTTTACAGGCATATAGTACTCGACGAGTTCTACACATTAACGGTTCAAATTATCAAAATGAGACCCGTAGTAGGTCCCCATAAGCCCAACAGCACGGTCTAATCCGATCCCGAACTGAAACAGAAGCTATACCCAAAATGAAAATATATGTAACAACGCCTATTTTGAGGGGAGATTAGTGATTGTTTGGTATGGGTTAAATAATATATATTGGTATGGGTTAAATAATATATATTATTTTAACATATTATTTTATTTAAATCATATTATTCTTTTCTCATATTATTTTAAACTTCATTTATATTTCATATTTTTTTGTAAAAAGTAAAAAAATATATTAATTTAACACTTCTTAAACAACTCCTAAAAGTTAATTTTTAAAAAATATTTGTAAAAAAATAAAAAGATATGTGATTTAAAAAAATCAAAAAGTTAAAAAATTATGTGTTAATTATGTTACCAAAATAGATCACATAAATAAATCCTCTCAATCTCATTTTTATAGAACAATTAGTTCGACCATACCTAACTTTTACTCAAATCTATCATTAAATTCAAATTTGATAAAAAATTCATAAAAAGTGAGTCCCAACATTTTCATCAAAGTGATATCAAATAGAGAAAAAAACAGATATTTCATCAAATGAAGGGAGGTTTAATCATTCGTCAAATTTAAATTGCTACAGTTGAATCGGATATTCTCCCGGATGTCCACCTAAGACAATTTGATAGCTTTTTTTGTTCATATCTAGATGATCTCTAGAACATCCTTTTGGACGTTCTCCTGGACAACTGAACATGTGAAAAAATTTGATAAAAATTCTAATTTTGATATTAGAGTGAACGGTATCAAATCAAATGTTGCATTAATTTTTTACTCAAATTTAATGAAATTTTTTATTCATCGTTGGATATGCTCTTATATAGACTTCGATAAATTATGACTTTTATTTTTTTAATTATAATAGGTCTAATTTGGGAACTTCGCCAAAAGTCAATTTTTGATTTTTAACCTATTTTAGATCATATCATCTCTCTACTATTTTACACGTTTTTTCAAAAAAAAAAAAACTGAAAAAAGTTTAAAAAAAAAACCAGCTTTTCAAAATAGTCCTCTTTAAATTTTTTCTCAAGTTCTCATGTAACATTTCTGTTAATTTGTTGTTAAATTTGCTAATAAAAATGATCATATAACATATATTTATGAGGGCAAAAAGCTAGTTTTCTTCTCGTTTTATTTCTTCTATATATATATATATATATATATTATAGTATTCTTTTTTATAATCTATTTTCTAAATCTACTAACAATGGATGGTCAATAGTAGTGAGTTTAAAAAAGACAACAGAGAGAAAATAGTGTTAAATATATAGAATGAGTAGAAAGGAAAAGGAAATTATAACTTTGTCAAAAAAAATATTACATATCATGGTCACATTACAATTTGAACGAAATTGAAAAGGTTAATTATTACAAATTGAAGAATGTAAGAGGGGCTAATTTGAGCCCACTAAAATTATTTAGGCCCAATAGCCCAAGATTAGTGGGCCCGAATTTATCGCCATCAAACGGATTGAATCGCTCTAAGCCTCGAAAGGGTTCGGATCCACGAACCTAGAGACTTACTCAAGCCCGGACTCGAAAGGGTATTAAGAACGCCTCGAGATCCGAGGTTGAAGAATCTAAGCCTCTCATCATATTCTAGAGAATTCGATCTTCGAATTTTCCAACTTCTTTCTTGAACCCTCTCCTACAAAGAATAAATGACCAAAGGAGCAAATTCATTACTAAGTTTGTTGCTATTACGAAATTAGGCTTCAATCTACGCAGTACACATGTTATGCTGTTGGTCTTAGGATCTCAATGTTGAGTTCAGATTTTAATTTTAAATTTGTAAAGTAATTTGATATACATGTTATTTTGTTAGTCCTAAGATCTCAATGTTGTGTTCAGATTTTAATTTTAAATTTGTGAAGTAATTTGGCCCATAGGACGGGGAGAGGGAACAGCACCTGGGCCCTTAGCCCTTGATAAAAAATTTAGATGGTGGAAATGAGAAAAAAGGGGGAAAAAAAAAAGAAAAGAAGAGAAAAAAGAGTATATGCTGTTTTGATTTGTGAAAAATGCTCATTGTTGACGTTTTTGCCGCTTTCACATTATGAGAGAAGCCGTCAGCATCACTTCGAAGCATGTCTTGTAGTTATCGGTTACTTGTGAGACAACAAAAGCATATTTGCCAGCTATCTCTTAAGTTTGGATTTGGTTTGTTCTTATTATACCTTCATTTGAAAAGTAGATTGATTTTTTTATTTTAGGGGTTGTTTAAGATCTTCTAAATAAATATATTTTTTAATTTTTTTATAAAATATAAATTGAGTTTAAAATGATGTAATAAAAAAATGATTTGACTTAAATAAAATGATGTGACTTAAATAGGATAGTGATTTTTTAACTTTTTAACTTATTTTGAAGATGCCAAACTTAGCCTTAGTCTAAGATTTAAAAAATTTGTTTGAAAAAAACTTTTTAATTTTTTTGATTTTTTGTAAGAAAAACAATATAATGATTATGGATTGGATGTGATATTTTATCTCATAAACTCCAATCACACTCTCTACTTTTCACTATCTAAAGTACAAAAAAAATACACTCTTTTTTTTACTTAATTACTTTAGCTATTGTGTTCTCCAACCACGCTTTTTATTTTAGTTAATCATTTAAACTAACTTAACTAACTTTTAAAATAAAAAAAATACTAATTGTTAATATTTTACTAATATAAATTTGCAATAATAATAAATTTGCTCATACAAACGTACAAAACCTGTAAAATGAGAAGAAAAAAAATACAAAATACAAAATATGTTATTCCGTAATTCATCAAACAGAATTGAAAGAACATATAAAATTGTTACATACACACACATATATATATATAAAATATATAAAATTCCAAATCCAAGACATAAATATACAAAAATCTAAAATATATACATACATAATTATTTGAAGAGCCTCTGAGACTCTTCAATTGTAGCTACCAAAAAAATAAGATGATAAACTAACTAGCCCAATAGCTAGTCCATTAGAGCTCAAAATTAGATTTACATTGGCTAAAATGCCTAACAAACCTTATTTAACTATCCCCTTGAAGATGCTTTTAGGCTAAAAAATCTATTTTATCTTTTTATAATTAAAATAGCTCCAAACCCACCCAACCCATTCTTCCCAAACGAAACCTATATATATTTAACAGAGGAGGGCAACGTTTTGTCATAGGCAGCAAGGCAGAAATAGGAGGACATTCTCTAATGAAATTCCTATTGCCACCAAATTATATATATATATATATATGAAAGAAACAGAAAATTTCTTCCAGACCCTAATAATCAAATGTTTCCTGCTACAACCCCATGAGAAGCAGGGCTAGGAATCCCAGGAAATTTGTTGATTGTACAGAAGACTAGTTCCTTATTTACATAAGAAAAAAAGAAGAAAAAAAAGAGAGCAATATATACTTGGTTATAACCAGAACTGAAGTTCCTTGAAGCAAACACCTGATCGCTGGTTATTGGTACCGGTGAAGTTTTCAGTTGCATGGTCATGGAAGTAACCGGCATAAATGGATGTCACTCCTCCCTCTCCTGCATGTCAAGCCAAAACCCAGTTACTGAATGTAAAAAAGAACCCAACAAATAGCCAAAAGAAAAATAATAATAATAAATAAAATGAAAAAGCAAGGACGGAATGGGTAAAGGCTAGCTACCATAGCAACCAACCTGATTTGGCAGCAATTCAATATAGGGAAGGTAGGATTAGATGATGAAAATTTTTAAAGAATAAATTCAGGGTTGTATTGTAAAATATCATATTCAAAAACCAAATGGAGAAAGAAAGGGACACGAACTCCGCTACATCAAGTAATATATTTTTTTATATCAGAGATGGAGTGTTCATAAAAAATTCCCCGCATTATCATCTTAATTCCAGGTCTAACAGTATCAATAATCATATAATAAGAAAAAATAAGAACAGGAAATACCAATTCTCGTGAAGGGAATGCAGTGCCAAGGTTTGACAAGGTTTGACAAGGTTTGATCAGGTTTGATCATCATGAGTTCAGTCAGGTCAAAAACTCAACCAAACAACCACCATGTATCAAACACTAGAAAATATGGATCTATGCTTTTCCTATATATTTTAGTAGATTATATGTATTACAGCATTTTAATAAACATAAAATGAAGTTGAAGTTTTCTTTATCTCAATTCATGAGAGTTATCCATCTATAAAATAAAAAAATAAAAAAAAACCATGTGAGTATGCCATATGTGGTTGTCCCACATCAAAAGTTGAAAAAGTAGAGTTGGTCACATTTATGACTCTATCTCTCTCTCTCTCTCTCTCTCTTCTTGGTTCAACCTTCAAGCTATAACCTCGACAACCCACATGTGCATGGGAGGGTGAAAGGGGAAGAGATGAAAGTGCACGGCATTTCATCAGCAATAAATAGTTTTAAAAAAAAAAATTAAAAAAGAAAAAGAAAAAAAAGATTGTGGTTCAAATTGAAGGTGGTAGAAGCAAAACAGAAATGCCAAAACAATTGGAGAAAGGTACTGAGAAAAGTTGTGTCATATAATTTAGTGAAGGGTATGGCCCAAGATAAAGCTTTATTTAATATGGCCAACTTGCGAAGGCTTTTGTCTAACACAAAAGCCCAGCCACACAGTCGAGAACAGGGTTTATTGATCCCACTAACAATTTTCAAAATAATGAGGTCTACAAAAATTTCAAAGTTGTAGCCACATTAGCATCTATATCATACTTGAAGAGAAAACATAGATAAAATATAATTTATCTGATGAATTAAGCATTTATTTTTGGATGTTAATATAGTTGAATAAAGGGTTGGATCATGTTCAAATTTTACACATTACCATGAGAAAATGGAAATAGATGCAAAGTATCATCAAAGCAGACATAAAACAAGAAAAGAATAGGGAGAGACACCAAAGCAGCAGCATAACAACAGATAATAATGGCCAAATGAACAGTGAGATGAAACACAAGATGCCATAAGTCATAAAAAGTTTCATCAGAAATAAAGAAAACAGATATACTGTTTGGAGCTACTACATTCTTATCTAAAACTGATTTACAATAACTTAAAGGCAATGACAATGACAATTTTGAAATGTCTCACAGTGAACTACCCATTACTGTAACAGAAAATGTGAATGAAATTCCATGAAGAGAACTACCGGTCTAAAGCTATGGCATGAATGATCTAATTTTTCCTAAGTTGTTTCCTAAGGAATTCTAATAAGCATTTCAAGAAGAGACTGACAGTGCATGGACAATTTACAACACAAATATCAAATTGCAAATTTATCTAACCAGGATATTTCATCTTCAATGTGAAACTATAAGGAAATAAATTTCAAGAGAAAATATACAACAACAACAAATGAATCCATGTGCATACTGTTAAAATTTATCAATAAACCTACCACCACTACCACCTCACCTACAATTTATTCTCTCTTTCTCTATACATTATTTCTTACACATACTCTGTTTACGGAGTTTGAACCCTCAAAACCCTCAACCCCAATCATCCCACAACCTCCATCACAAGGTTTACGTTCTTCTGAAATACTGCAGGAAAGGCAAGAGAAATAACGACAAATAATTAAGAGTACACAAAGAGACAAAAATCAATCTTAAGCCTATTACTACTGATAAACCCAGAACAAGAGAACAAATTTTTACCTTTCATTTTCTGTGCCAACTAGCTTGTGTAAATTAAAAGGTAGATTTGTAGATGCTCCTGCATCTGAAGAAACCTGTTTACCATCCTGTGGCAAGAGCAATTACAGAAACATAATTATTAATCTTCCTTGGTTAAAATTACTCAAAAGACAAGTAGCACTAGATGCTGAAGGAAAATACTTCTGTGTCACCTCCCATCCACCCAGGAATGCTTCTTGACATAAGGGCAATATATTGCTCCATAGCCACCTCTCGGTTCATATCCCCAAGCTGTCGCCAAGCATTCCTAGCAGAATGTAACCAGTGTGCTTCAGTAGTTACTAATTACACAAGGGAACCTCAAATCCTATTATCAAAAACTAACAGCCAAATTACATACTAAAACATGACTAATGATGAGCAGAGTTCCTTTTGTACGATACCTAGCGCAACTTATATTTTGTGATTGGGAAAGCTATGATAGAAAAAAAGGAAAATAAACCCTGAGTTCTCCCCATATATCAAAATTTTTTGAGCAGTTGAACTTAACTGCTTATGGCAATATTGGTTAAAAAGATAACCTATAAAAAAAGGAGGGAGTAAATGAGAACAGAGTGTCCCTTATCAAAAAATACATTTAAATTAACTTCCAAAGTATCCTAGAATGACAACCCAAGGGAGTCGATAGCCAGTGGCCACATAAAGTACATAATGTCATTCTATGATCTCCCTCTACCTCTAAACACACCAGTCCATTAATTGATTAAATACATAAATTGAAAACCATTACTTTATCACAAACATAAACATTAAGAGAGACATTATAGTTTGTGCTAAAATGTGTATGAATTGTGCTTGGTAGGTAGGCAGGCAATGCATTCAAAGCATCTCCCACCCACGTCCAAGCAAGCCACCAATCACACGGTCGCAGTCAAGAATCAAATAGACAACTTCCAAGAAAGAAAAGGAAATAAACAAATTTTCCCCTATTATATTCTTTGCCACTGCAAGACCTTAAATCACTTAATTGATCAAATGGAAAATTAATCGTAAGGATAGATATGAGAGTTTTTCAAATTCTAGTCCATAACTACACAAATGGATGAGAAATAAGCATCTGAAACCGCACAAATCTCAGGTTTTTGCTTAATGTTGGCCTCAAGCCAAAATCTTGGTTCGGCCACTGAACCCATTGGGGATATAATTTGATTATGAGCCTAGGCTTGATTGTTCTAATGCTACACCCTGATCAAATACGTTTACCAATTTAAAATTAAGGATAAAATATCAATAAGTCCTAATAGTTAGACTTAATACCCATCAAGTCCTACCAGTAAAATTATCGCTAAAAATAATTTTTTTATACATGTCCCTAAAATTTACAATTAGTGACTTTTTTTAGCACGATTTTTATAATTTGTCGCTAAAACTAATAATTAGTGACATTATTTGTAACAAAATTTTCAAATTGCCACTTCAAATTAACAATTAGTAAGTTTTTTAATAGGGATGGATGAAAACGTCATTAATTATCGCAGGACCTGTTAGTCCCCAAAAATTAATCCCTCTTTTACACCTTCATGATCAGCGTTATTTTGTGTATTTAATATTTATTTCAACACAATCCTCCTGTAGCCCATAAACTCTCAGCATTAAGAATAATTATAGTTGGTAAGCATAGTGAGTAAAAATGGTAATTTATAACCCTTATATTCAATAATTAGAGGCGAAGCTTACTACCACTTTGCACGAGCAGACACCTTCAATGCCATTGGCTGTGGCAGTCGGCAGCGCCCTTCAATGGCAACCTTATGAAGCCCATATAGCTGCATCTTGCTATCATTATCGAGGCTCAAAATTCTATCAGCATTGCTCTTAGAACCAGCAAACACCACTGCATCACCAAAACGCTTTTCCAACTCCGTTCTCTCTATCCCTTCCCAATCATCGAAAAACCCTGTTTCTTTGCCGCAAATCTCATCGACACTTTCGTTCCTCTTATTATCTTCACTCTCCAAAACCCTAACCTCCTCAAATTTTGCCACGCTCTCTCCATCGTTTCCCGATTCTATCCCAATTTCGCGAACCCCGGCCTTCTCAGAACATTTTTCAACCAAATCCTCCGATTCTATTCCGATTTCGCGAAATTTCTCCCACTTAGAACATTCATCAAACAAGTTTGCTTCAAACTCAACTCCACCGACAGCTTCTCTCTCTTCATTCAACACTTGTCCTTTTGCCTCCTCCCTAAAAACACTGGCTCTCAAATCTTCATTCTCCAATCCAACGTTTAAGAATTCTTCGAAAACCTCCTCTCCATCATCAAGCTCCTCATCGCCGCATATTAATGGCGATCCAACAGCTTCAGCCCTAGGCTCCTCTACATGTTCATCAAATTCAACCGCTTCGTCGACGAAGCAAACTCTCCTCTCGCTTGCCGAGTCCCAAACCACCGATTTTTGGGGACGATTTTGTTCGGTGATGACGCCGATAACCGACACCGACACGGAGTTGTCTCCAGCAGGATCAGAAGAGGACGCCATTGAAAAGTGCTTGGCGATGACGAAAAAGACCAGAAGAGATAGACCGACAGTGAACATGAGCTCTTGAAAAAGCTCCATGTAGAGAGAGAGAGAGAGAGAGAGTATAGAGTCGTGGAGATCTTTGACGATGATGGAGAGAGAGAGAGAGAGAGAGAGAGGGGGGGAAGGGGCGGAGAGAAAGGGATTTTGAAGATCAGAGCAAGGCATATTCTATGAGTCCAGATCCCCTCCTGGAGCCCCTCCTTCATTCCCTCCTTGCAGGGGCTTTCGGGTCCACTTTGTGGCTTAGTTTTGATAATCCGAACCGTTTATATTTTTAGATTTATTCAGTATATTATATCTGTAAAAAATCAAGTTGATTGGATATTAGAAAGTATGCGTTCAGAAAATTGGTATTACAAACTATTTTTTAATAAACAGTTTTCCGAACACATACTTCATGATATTCGATCAACTTGATTTTTTACAAGTATGATATACTGAATAAATCTAAAAATACGAACGGCTCGGATTATCAAAATTAGGCCTCAAAGTGGGCCTGAAAGCCTTACAAGGAAGGAATGAAGGACCCAAATAAAGGGGAAGATCCCAATTCATATTCTCTATGCTTTGCATCTGATTGTAGTTGAGGAGTGGGTCCCACTTCGGTAGATCGAGGTGTCCTAAAAGGACTCTCTCACAGACTAACCAACCATTTTTGTAAGCGGCGGTTAAGGTATCCGACTTCGTCTACCTAATTTTTGACGGCTGTATGTAGTATTTCCATTTTTTATCCCCTTTCTTTTTGTCTGGTTTGTTCTATCCTTTTCGGTTTGGTATTACTAATATGCTTCGTTTTCAAGCAACTATTAAACCAATGAACAATTTAATACTCCATTTGTTTACTTCCGATACAAAAATAGAATAATTATAGAGGTTAATTATTGGTTAAATAATATAAAATTATATATTTAGACTCAATCGTAAAAATAAAAATAAAAAAAAATGTTGCGATTAACCCTAAAAATTTAAAAGTTATTTAGACAAGTTGAATTACTCAAGATAAGTATAACACTATATAAAGAATAATATAATAAACAACAAAGAATACATTTTGGCTATGTTTGGCATAAGTTTTTGTGAGTGTTGATTTTTGACTACACAATCAAGAAGGAAAACTCAGCTGGAAAGTACCAGCAGAATAGATTAAACCTGAACAACCTGTCACAGAAAGATAAGAATCCGGCAGTGGTTCGTCTACCTATGGGCACTCCAACGATCAAGTTAGTAATCAAATATTTCTCAAAGACAGCAAATTGTGCTTGACTCATAAGAAATAACTTACTACTCACAGTATATCACACATACTTGAGACCCACGGGGGTGCCCTGCTTTTATAGCCAGGACTGTCCTGATCCCTGTAGAAGCCTCACTTCAATGGGCTCAAGCTCAATACTCATCCTGGACTCTCAACTAGATAGGGATAAGCTCCCTAAGAGCTTTATCTTTATCCAGACTGAGATCCTCCCATGATCTAGGATTTTTGTCCCATATCCGCTCATCTCAGATTCTAGCATCTCTGCAAATAACCTCAGCCTAACCGAAATTACCTCAGCATCATGACCAGGCCACGTGGCACCTCGGCTGACACTTCAGCGTCACCTTGGCCACGTGCTGTCATTTACAAAATATGTTCTCACGACTGCCTCCTAAGTTCTATTACCTCGGTAACCTGGGGTGATAGAACCTGCATTGCTTATTCATATATTATGTCGGCTAAAATTTATTCTTTCCTTCGATCGAGATCATGACTCGTCAGTTTCAAGTTCTCAGGACTCGACTGTCCATCCTTATCAATGATCAAGAACTAAGAACCAAGTTCTTTGAGTATCTTAACCGAGATCATTTCTTTAGCCAAGGTTTTTGCTTCATTACTTCAGGAATTCCATGAGTTTTGACTGCGCATGAGCTGTCACGCACAATTTTCCCAACCGTTTCCTTAACGCGTCGCTTCCTCACTAGATCGTACCTGACACGCACTATTGGGTCGGGTCGTTGCTGCCCACGCTGCTTGACAGGCACATCGTCCTAGGCATTTCATTATGGTTTGCCATCTTTTCAAATTTTTGACAAAACTCTTACTCTCTCTTTCTCTCTGCCTCTTTACTTTTGCAAAATTGATTTCTCTCTGCACTCCATTTTTCTCTCTCTAAATTTTCTTTTTCAATCCACCATTTTTCAAGCTCTCAAGCTCTGCAACTGCGTTTTCTGTCACCGCTGGCGCACCTTTCATTATTCGACTTTAATAATTCAAGTCGTTTGACTCCGGCATATCTCACTCCGGCTTTAATCGGTAAGTCCTCCGATTTCTTTATTTCTTCTGTCAGTTTTTTTACTGTCCATGAATTTATTCTGTGCTTCCATTCGCCATACTTGGACATTGCAAATTAGTTCTTGCTCTTTTGAATCTATCTACATGTATTGGTATTGTTTCCTGAATGTATTAATTCTCTGAGTTTGCCGCTTTGCACACACCCACTTAGTGTTTGTGACTTTCCATGTTCTTGAATCATCTCCATTTTACCACTGTGTCTGCCACATTGTTACATTATTGATTATGTTCTCTTTCTGTTTTGTGTTTCGAATTACTACATTTCATTGTATTGCTCATACTTGTGTTTTTGAATGTCTAACATTGTTCTTGTCGTATCTATGCTTCTCTCTTCATTTCTGTTTCGTTTTGATTCTTGAATCTTGTTTGCCTTTGATGCTTCTTGATTCTAAATCATATTTGGTTTTTGATCTTCTTGCTTGGTTTCCAGATTCTTGCCCTTGACTCTTGTTTCTATAGACCTAGGTTTGGGATTTGCTTTAAAATACTCATACTTAGGAAAAATTGAAACAATTTCCCTTTAGGTCATCGAAATCCATGCCCTAGTGCCTATTTAGGGTTCAGTCGAGGTTTTTAAACCCATGTCAATCACTTTTTCCCGAAATCTTGCTCCAAACTTTACGAAGCCGACATCATGGGTATGTTCAGATGGAGGGTAGACACTCAAGAAAAACTTGAGCACTTTAGGCGGGACTTCTCTATCCCAGCCGACATCCACTTAAGGTTAGCTGGGGAGGAGGACTCTATCATGCCTGATGGAGACTCCATGCCCTTCCCCGTTTGTCACATTCATTGAGTGTGGACTTCGATTTCCTTTAGACATCCTGTTTAGGAAAGTCCTCCACTATTACAAACTCAACCCTATGCAGCTAGCCATCAATTCCTATAGGGTTATCAATGGTATAATCGCCCTAGCTCGCCGAGAGAAAGCTAGGATAACATTAGCCGACATCCAATTTCGTTATACTATATGTGGCGTAAAGTTTGAGAAAGGCCACATTTATTACCTCAAGCCCAGATCCACTGCCTACAAAATCATAGCCAACCTCTCACACTCTAACAAGGGTGCTGGAGATGATTAAGTGTTAACTTTTCTGTTAAGACTTTGTTACTTTACTTTTCTTATCTGTTCTAATGTCTGCTTTTTGCTCTTTGTAGCTCTCCCTCAATTATCAAAAGACTTCTGCCAGTCCTTCTTCCCTAACAAAGACCTCAAAAGGTTGTTGGGCCTACCTGTCGACCAGCACAAAGCCCCTCTGCTACTCAATTATATCCCAACATACAGGTTGGCCCTACCCGACGTTCCCCGCCAAAGCAAGACCTCACCTTCTGCAACAACTCCACGAATTGCTTCTTTACCTAGGCCAGACCAGGCCTCTTCTTCAAATCTAGTGGAGATTATATCTACATATTTTCCCCAATTGATTCCACCTTTCCCACGCCGATACTGACGTCGAGCTCCACTAAACGTCCCTGCAGGCAGAACCCGAAGTCCCAAACGACGATATTTTAAGAAATCGACATTCGATCTAGCAAACCCTTCAATTGCCTTTCCAGCAACCCATTTTGGCACCAAAGTCACCGTCGTTGTAACAGCCGACGAGATGGGCCACAATAAAGCCGTTGTGGAGGACCTTATGGCCGACTTGCTAGAGGTGGTTACTGTTCAATCTTCTCTATCAGAATCTCATCCCAAGTCAAAACCAAAGAGGGTAAAAAGGGCTAAGGCAAAAACCACTATGACCCAAGTGGAGTTAGATGACACAGTGCTGATCTTGAAATTGGTCGAGATAAAAAAGAGCACCACCACTACTGAGAAAAGGCCTACCTAGACTGAGACATCTAATACCTCGCGGTCGAAGAAACTGAGGTCCAGATCCATAACAAGCCTAAGTGTTTTCAAAGCTGATGAACCCTAGGCCTCTGCTATCATGATTGGTGACAAGCCAATGAAGGCTGGTGATAGTGCCATCGATAGCATTGAGATCGGCGCCGCTCTCTCCACAACCGTGCTACTTCCAACTGATCTCAATCGCATGACCGAGATCAATGAATATGAAAATTTCGCATTGATGATGCAACATTCAGTTCTTGTAAGTACCCGACACTTGTATCGTTCTTGTTTTCCTGTAAATGCTCAACACTTTGAAATTTTACTAATTTGCTTGTTTCCTTGCAGGCCATCCAACACGCCTATTCTTTTGCTATGAAAGCCGAGGCTTTCAAACAAGAGTTGGTGCACAAGACCTAGGAAGCTGCTGGCTTCCTCTCCTCACTAAATAATGCCGAAGTCAAGATCAAATTTTTGTTGGATTAGGCCAAAACAGCCAAACAAGTCCAAGACCAGGCTGAGGAAAAAGTTGAGGCAGCCGAGGCTGTGGCTGAGGTACTTAAGTCCGAGATCAAGGATGCCGAGACCAAAACTGCTAAGGCTAAGATGGAGCTCCAAGAAACCCTAGCTACAAAAGAGGCCGAGATCAAGTCAACTGACGAGAAAGCATTCTCAGAAAGGCAGGTTGCCGCCTGTGATGCATATGAAGAGCAAGTTAACTAAGCCTGTAACCGAGGCTTCTACCTCAGCTGGACTGCAGTTCTTAACAAATTATCTATCCCTATGGACTCCGACCTCCGAGATATCAACAGACTCAAACGGTGAGGCTGGCGAGGAGGAAATCGACGCAGAGGATGCCAAAGAAGAGGAGGGGGTTGCTATTGGGGCCAAGTCTCCAACATTGAATGATCAAGTCCTGGAATTCACTCATGATGAGAAGGAAGCCTTCCAAGGGTGCCTCTCCTAAACAACTTTTGAGGCCGAGGTCCAAGTAGTCAAGAAAAGCTTGGACTAGACCTTGCAGGA